ATTCCAGAAGAACAAGTAAGTCTGTATTGGAAGAAGTACAGCCAGAATGCTTAGAAGCCAGGATGACCAGACTTTGTCTCTTGTACTTGTAACATATTATCAGGAGGGACTAGTCCCTGGAGAAAGGACAATCATGCTAGGTAAAGTGGAGGGTCAGCAAAAAAGAAGGCTCCCCGCCCCCCAGTGAAATGGATCGGCAGTGGGCTCATGCGTAACGATTGTGTTTCATTTTGTTTCACTTGGGGTCGCTATAGGTCAGAACTGACCCAATGACACCTAACAACAACGTATCATCTTTGGGTATCAGTATTACACTTGGTTTATAAAATACTTAGGCTGTTTTCCTTCATTGTCTGTGTTCATTATGCCCCATTGGGACTGGGAAAGCGTGATAGAAATCCCCTTTGCAACCTTCAGAGCCTGTATCTTTATGTGAACTAGTCTCATAATGAACCTCTGCAACACATCTACCATCTCGGAGATTAATGTGCACCAACTTCTTTCCATTGTGAGTTAGCCTTTCCAACCAGGCTTATAACTGCGCATAGTACTCCCAAGATTTTCTTTCTTTGCATGAAAAACGTTTAATTGGGCTAAAATTATGGTTCAGGCTAGGTGACCAGTGTGGACAAACAGATGTTGGGAATGTTCTTGCTGTTTCTCTGCTGCACATGCACACTGGTGCCAGCCAAACTGAGCACCCAGAAGAATGTGAAGACAGCACTAGTGGCTCCTCAACACCCCCACTCCCCCAGCTCACTGCAGAACTCTTCCGACAGGAACTCCAGGTAGTTGGAAGCCCGTGTCTGTCACTCTGCATCCACTATCTCTGGCTGCGCTCCACCCAGACACCATGAGCCCAGGAACCTCTTTGGTGGCACAGACCCAGGGTGCTGAGCCATACTGGGCCCGCCTTTAAACTTGATTTTTTTTTTTAAATGATTAATTTTCCCCTTGTCATTTCTTATTTTGTACACTTGTGCTTTCTCCTCTTTTTTCCTTGAATACGGTAGCGGTTGTTCTATTTTAAATTTTTTTGTGAAAATCGATTTATGAATTAGGTTTTGCTTTTGTTGTTTTCTCTATCTCATCCATTCTTCTCGTGGTTTCTCTCCTGTCCTTTCCGTGGTTTGACTTTGCTCTTTAACCTTTTGAGTTAGGAATTCAGATCATTTTCATGCTTCCAGTTTTTGGGTGTTTTTTGTATTTTGAGAAAAGTGTTTAGCTCTTTGAAATTTCCTGAGCTTCTGATAGATTGTTTCCATTAATGAAACTTACTAAACAATATGAGAATCTTTGTTCATGTTTTCCCTTTCATCCAATTAATTAGATGGCTCTTAGATTTCCAGTTAGGAGGACCTTTTTGTTTTGTTTAAAGTTAATTGTTTGTAGGTTTTTATGTGTTGTGATGAGAGAATTGTTGGTAATTGTTCTGCTTTCTGAAACATACATCTTTGTGTCAAACGTAGGACGTTGTTGTTGTTGTTAAAGTGCCCGTTGAGTTGGTTTTGACTGGTTTCCGAGGAGCAGCTGGTGAGCTTGAACTGCGGACCTTGCAGTTCAAACAGCTTTGCAGTCTGGTGCATGAACCCACAGCACCATACTTTTGTGAAATCTTCATGAGCACCTGAGAAGATTGTTCAGTAGCATGTCTTTAGATACTCATGTGTCTCTGGACACGGTCTCTGAGGAACATGAGTATCTCATTTACATGAGGTCCCTTGTTGTTTGTTTCCTGATGGCTTGTGTGTGGTAAGATCTCACTGAAGACAGTTAAGTGCCATAGCTTCTTCCCTATACTTCCTTCCAAGATCTTTCTGGCTTTAGGTGTAACATTGAGGTCTCAGGTGGTGTTTCTGTGAGTTAACAGGTGTGAAGGCCTATGCCTGGTGCTGTGTGGGTCATCAGAAACACTGACTGCAGTTGTGCAGGTAAAACAAACACACCTCATTGTGCTGTCAGGAAAGGCCCCGCCCTGTGATAGGAAGAAAGAGGGTCTTTGCAGAAGGAGTACATAAAGGCATCCTGGTGCTAAGGCCTGCTGGGGAGGTGGAGACGCCCCTTTAATAGATGTTAAGGAGTCCTGGTGTGACGCTGTGAGTTAATGAGCTCGATAGCAAAGCTGGCTTGAACTGCAAAGTTGGTAGTTCAAGCTCACTAGCCACTCCTTGGAAACCCTGCACAGGGTTGCTATGGGTCAGAACCGACTCAATGGCACTTAACAACAATCACTTCGTATTGGATGTGCCAGTTGGTAGAGCTGTCAACTGGCACGTGAGGCGCAGACAGGGCCTGAGTGGCCAAGAGTGGACCTGGCCACGTGGATCCAGTGGGGGACAGCAGGAGATGGGAGTTGAGATCCTCTAGAACCGAAACTTTTGTCTCACTGAGCAGTCTGGCACCAACAATCGCCCTGCTCTCCTGTCCTTTTTCACAGGGAGGTTATCTAACTGCAGGTGAAACTAGCCCTTGGTGCTTGTTCAGAACAGCCTGGAAAGTCTGTTTTGTGGCGTGTTCTGATTGTAAGCGCCTGGGGAGAGGCTTGGTGGTTTCTGTGGGCAGCCTGGCCCTCCCGCCCTCCAGCAGGGACTGTCTAGACAGACTAGGTTCCCTGTGTCAGCTTCCTCCTGATTCTCTGATGAGATGACGGTGTTCAGTGCCAGCCTGTAGTCATTGATTTCCTAAGTAGACTGGAGGCCTGTTGTTGCTCCACTCCCCGAGCTCTGTCATTTGTAAGCTGAACCAGTGTGTCCAAGGCTGCTCAGATTTGGGCTTTTGTAAGATCTCAGCATAGTGGTTACGAATCGGGCTGCTAATCTCAAGGTCAGCAGTTTGAAACTACCAGCAGTTCCACAGGAGAAAGATGAGGCTTTCTGCTCCCGTAAAGATTTACAGCCTCAGAAACCCTGTACAGGGTCGCTATGGGTCAGAACCAACTCCACGGCACATAACAATAACAACAACAAGATCTCATTATTATTATTAATACTTAAAAGACTTTCATGTTTTTTCTAAGTCTTCAGGGACGCTAAAGGCAACATAAATATCGTCATTCACCATGAAAAGGGGTCTTTTTCAATAACTTAGGGAGGAGTCAATAAAAGTACATGCATTTTGTAGTCTTATCATGAAACCTAACTCAAAAACTGAACTGAACTGAGATTTCTCACAACCTGGAAAGCAAGCAAAGGTGGTCTGTGTGGGAGACGAACTCACTCCTACAAGGCCCTGCTGGGCGCCATCCACACAGTGGAAGCCGGCGGCGAAGGCTGTGGACGGACAGAACTGTGAAGTGTTTCCATCATCTGTAAACGCGGTGCTGGTGGTGTCTTGTGAAGTTGTGAGTTCTCTCATACAAAAAGTTATAAATATTCTCTATTCAGAAGTCTGGTCCTTGGAGGCGACACCTGGAGAGAGCCAAGGTTCCGTGTGAAGCACGGTGGCCCATCTGGGGGTGCCCGAGAGACACGGGTGGAGTCTGTGGTGCATGGCCGAGGCCCCAGCGCTCACAGCGGGTCCATCCTGGGTCTATAGTGCAGCAGTAGTGGGGCTTTCTTGAATCTCCATCTAGTGACAACTACAAATTTGAGTGTGTGGTCTTTGCCAAGGATTTCATTTTGCATAGTATATCCAGCTCATTGAACGATGACAGGTTTACGTTTTTTGGTGATGAGCTTCTTAAGGTGTAAGACTATTGCTTGGGCCAAGCAGTGGATCCAGTTCCGTTTTAACCCCCGAGTTTGCTGCTGTTACATTCCAGACATATGTACCTGCTCATCACTCCTGGGGTCATCTCTTCGGCTGTCTCTTGGTTGGAACTGTCATCTTCTTTGTTTTCACCATTCCGATGGGCATCTAAGTGTTGTTTCCCAGAGCATGGCTCCCCGTTCATGTCTCCAGGCCCCTCCCTCCATGCCTAATTTGTGGTTCTCATCTCGGCTTCTTGGTGGAAGCTTAGGACCAGTTTGTAAACAATGTCCTGCTTGGCCCTGTCATGACCAGTGTACTGTAAGGGATGGCTCTAGTGGATGACAGTTCTGCATGGGGCATGTGTTGTTCTCGAAATACGTTATGGGGCAACTCCGGCAAAAGATGTGCAAGCACTCGGTGATGGTGATGGTGGTGGTGTTGATGAGGCACCCACTGCACAGGCGGCAGGTGACATGGGCATTGATGTCCCAAAGTTTTGACGTTCTGGTCAGCATCTTTGGCTTCTCACCTTGCTGTTGGGGCCTCCCCGCTCGGCCTGCGCATGGGACGCGTCAGACGCTGCTCTCTGTGGGATTGTTTCTTGTCAACTGCTTTACTTGGCGCACCCGGGGTCTACACGTTGGCTCCTTCCTTCGATCCCTGGCATCTGTCCTATTTTCTGTCATCTCTGGGCCGTGAGCGAGCAGGGCACACCAGGTGGCTGCGCTGGGGGCAGGGGCAAAAAGGGGAAGAAAAAGAACACAAAGAAATGCCCGAGCAAAGCCTAGGGCTTATGGGAGGGGGGGGATGGCGGCTACATGCTCAGAGCATACGCTGCACAATTCCAAGATTACACGTTTAATAATCATTGTTGTTTTTGAAGTTCCTGCAACGTTAAGTACACTGAAATGATTTGTTCTCGTCCAGTAAAATGGTCAGTTCTTGTCATTTGATTGCCCCCTTCTGTTTTGTAGATGATGTCTTTCTGCCTAAAGATATTGACCTCGACAGTGTGGATATGGATGAGACCGAGAGGGAAGTGGAGTACTTCAAAAGGTAAACGCTCAGACAGTGTGTCTGAAACTGTGAGGGTTTGTGACCATTCCACCATGGCAATTCTAGGTCTCCTGGGTGGGTGTACCATCAGAGATGGACACACAGACAGACAGATGGCCAGCCAGGCTGGCTCCCAAGACTTACTCTCCCTGAGAAGCCTGTCTCCTTCAGCCCCACACTCACCTCGCCCACGCCCGCTCTCCCTCTCCCTCTTTCATGGGCACAGCAATTCTTCACGTGGCCCATGAGCAGCAGCAGCAGCATCGGGGAACCTGTGAGAAATGCAGATTCCCCGGAGTCTGCTCTAGAGCCCCTGGTACTGCTACTGAAGTCTGGGGTTTCCGTAGAAAAGTAACAGTGTTCAGTGATGATCACTTATGGGATCATTACTCTGTTTGTTAAAGTCATTGATCCCTTTATTCAAATGAAAACAGACTGAAGCTAGACCAGTTAGTTTTCAGTGCAGAGCAGACCTTAACTCCCATCCAGACTCGTGTTTATACACAAACTGTACTTAAAATAAAATGAAATGGAAAGAGGGAAATAGGACTAAGGTATGTGAGGTGAAAGAAAGCTGTTGTAGTCAGGTCGAAATGAGACAAAATTAAAATAAGAATCATTAGGGAATTAAAAGCAAAAGAAAATATTGTCATTGAGTTGATTCCTACTCATAGTGACTGCAGACACCATGTGTGAGACATGTCTGACTTCCCCTGTGTGTGTGCATACGGACATATATGCAGGAGCTTCAAAAAGTTTGTGGAAAATGAAGAATTTCCACAGATTTTTGAAACCCTTGTATGCATATCGCTGTATAATCATTATTATCATAGAAGGTGATGAAACATGTGTACTAAAGTTAAACATCCATTTATAATCAAAATGTAACAAACTGAGTACTTCCTGAATGTTATATAAAAATATCCATAAAGCTACAGCAGATATTAAACTTACTGGTGAAATGTTAAAAGCTATCCCTTGAAATTGAAAAAAGAAAAAAAGACAAGGATTCCACGTACCACAATTCTATTTCTAAAGCATAAAAAGAAACAAAAGGAATTTAGAATTGGAATTGTCGTTACTCTCAGATGATATTGCCATGTTTTTAAAAATGTTAAAGTATCTATAGATACATTTGTAAGTGTAGTGTATCCATACCTACCGTAAGCTGGACTGTGAACTACAAGGGCCACAATTCAAGCCCACCAGTTGCTCTGCAGGAAAAACATGAGACTCTGCTCCCACAAAGCTCTAAAGGGCTTGCTTTGGGTCGGAACCAGCTCAACAGCACCTAACAGCCACATAGATAAATGTCTTACATCATTGAGACAGTTTGGCAAGGCTGTTGGTTATAAAATCACACGGAATTCTGAATCTGAAATCATAAACAATTAAGCACTCTGAAAGGAACCTTTTTCCCTGGTACCCCCCTCCCCCCACCCCTTTAATGTACACTCTCTCTTTGTGGTATTTCTGGTCTTAAGCAAGAGCGGTTTCTAGGAGCCATCCCCCATGCCCATAAAACCAGATGGAGCTGAACTGGGGCTGTGTGTGATAGTGGAGCTGGAGAGACTGGGAGACTGCGTTTCCACTGCTGAGGTGGGAATGGGCCAGGAGGCCAGGGGAGAAGACATCCAGGACTTGCTGAGTGGCCTTGCTCTGAGACTGAATTCTGGAGTTCTCGGGGAGAGACTAGTAGAGGAACAGGTGCACTTCCTGGTTATAGTCAGATTTTAGAGCGAATTTCTTTAAAGTAGGCCTGGAGGACTCCAGCACTTTAAAATTAAGCATGACCTCATAAACAAAGATTCACAAATACCCCAGATGGGGAGGGAACATTGAAAAAACAAGAAATGAAAAAGCACGGTTGTTAAAATCAAGACTCCGTAAATGACAAATACATTAGCCACTATTAAAGAGGGACTTAGTGAACTGGAGGACATACGAGTTTTGAGCACAGGTAACAAGAAAACACAGAGCTCTAAGAAAAATAGAAAAATATTAAAGAAGTTCTAAAAACATTTCATTGGAAATTCCTCTAAGAGAAATGTAGAGACTACAGAAAAAGGCAGTGGTTAAAAAGATGGTGCTGAGGAATTTTGCACAACTTATGAGAAGTATGAGTCCACAAAGCCAAACGATGCAAAGTCAGAGAAAAACCTGCTCCTAGACGTAGCACATAAAATAGGGAACATCTGAAAAGAGAAAGAAAGATCGCCTACAAAGGAGAGGTTGTTAGAATGAAGGAGACTTTTAGCAACAAAAATCAGGAAACAGCAGTGATGTTTACAAAGTGTCAAGAAAAAAATGTCTATGTAAAATTATGTGGCATTGGAGGATAAGCACTGGACTGCTTATTGCAAGCTTGGCAGTTCAAACGCCCCAGAGATGCCCCAGAAACCCAATACAGGGTCACTAAGAATCTGAACCGACTTGACAGCACTTAACAACAACAACAGGGTTATGTACCCAGACATTCTTACTACTAAGTAAGAATGAAATAAATATGTTTTCCCATAATCAAGAAAAACTGTAGAAGCTTGCTACCAAGAGACACTCATGAAGGGAAGCATTTCAGATTACACAAGGGGGACTTCCAAAAGTTTGTGGAAAAGTTCTAGTATCTTTATTATTATTATTATTTTAAGTTTTTACTGTGAATTGAGAGAAAGATTACAGGGCATATCATCAGTTCTACATTCATCGAATTCGTTTCATTACAATGGTTATACTCCCCTCCAGATCAGTTGACAGCAGTTCTCTATTCAATTTAGCTTTTTTTTTTTTTTTAAACACTCAGGTATATATAATAATTTACACCACAAAACAGCACATTCTGCAAGTCTGCCTCCTGGTTGCCAGCTCTCAGTCCCTCTCTGTCCATGAATCTAGAATCCTCAGCTGCTCCTTTCCATGTCCCCATCTCTGCCTCCATCTCTGGTGTCGCTGCTTCTCTGGATAAGGTCCCACATTCCACTTGTGCAGTTCTCCCTTGATGATCCTAGGGTCCTCTGTTTCTGGACTGTAAGAATAACTACTCCCCTGTTTTTGTTAACAAAACTTGTACCTTTACAGTTGTGACAGTCGCAATTAGTCATGGTAACAATGACTCACTATTGAATCCTAAGAATCTTATCCTCATTTCTTTTAACCAGACCATCTAGACAAGATGGAAACTACTCAGTGGAGACTCTTATCTTCCCTCATGCACTCTTAAACTAAACTCCTCCTTGAAACCTTGTAAGCCAGTCACTTTGTGCCTTTATCGCCCCCTCATTTTAGGTAGCCAGTATCTAAGTTGACCTTCCCTATCTACCCTGTGCACAGAGTGTATAGCATTGATCCTTGATGTGTAGATTCCTTCCCTCTCTGTTGGTATTTTGAGCTACTACCTCCATGAGTATAGGTCAGATTTATCAAATTGTAGCAATTTACTCTCACTTTATCAAAAATTTTTTTTTGTTTTTTTTTATCTTTCTCTAGTCTTGAGTTCTGATTATCAAGCCATCGAGACTAGGTCAAACAGATACTATCTGCAAGTTTGGATGTTTTTGTGTGTCACCCCTCACTTCATATCAGCTGGATGCTTCACTCTCATCTCTGGCCCTCTGTACCTTTGTCTTGTCCATGGGCTCAGGAGTCCCCAGATCTCACCACACTTTGCACCAACCAGCCCTTCCTCTTCTCTCTCTCATCTCCAGGTCAACAGGAGTCTATGGAACATGGTTGAATTCGGCCCATTTCTTCATTGCTGCCTTTCTCCCTCTTCCACTCACCAGTAGACCAGTGTGGTCGACAGCAAGCTTAAATGCCTGCTCATGTGTTCCCTTTGAGTTTCAGTGTTAGAGGGGAGAAAGTTCTGTTATCTTTTCATTCCATTTTCCACGAACTTTTTGAAGCCCACTTATACTCAAGAAAAAAGGAAGATGCTCTGTTGTACAGAGAAAATGAAACACAGACCAGTAAATCATGACAAACACACATTGTAGTAGCAGTCTCATTGCAGTATTGATCAGCAAAAATGTGCAAGTTAGGAGAGAAGAGATCAAAACTAGTCATCTCGTGTCCTTTTCTTATTCAGGGATGTGTGTAGATACGTCACATTCAGAATTTGGTGGGCAGAGTGAAAATTCAAGAGCAGCCATTAACAGCATAGAAATAGGGATGCATAAATTGCTAACCAGAAGAAGGACACCTTGTGGGTAATTTAGATTTCAGAACAGGAAATGACAATGAAAAGCACAGAGAAAATTGTCAAAGAGTTGTTGGAAGAAAACTTCCCTAACATCATGAAGGACAAGTAGATAAGCATACAAGAGGCTGAGTGAACCCTAAATAGGATAGATCCCAAACGAAAATCACCAAGAGACCTGGTTGGCCAGCAGTGTGGTGAGAGCTGGGGACTCCTGAGTCCATGGACAAGAACATAGCCACAGAGGGCTTAGAGCAGAGAGTGAAGTGTCCAGCTGATATGAAGTGAGGGGAGATGCACAAGAATGCCCAGTCTTGCAGATAGTACCCATGTGACCTAGCTTCAATGGCTGGACAATCAGAATTTGACTAGAGGAAAGGGGGAAAAAAAAATTTTTTTTTTTAAATAAAACAAGTGTAATTTGCTACAATTTGATGAACTTGACCTGTACTTATGAATGTGGTAGTGGTGGTTATGTGCTGTGGAGTTGGTTCCAACTCAAAGCAACCCTGTACATGGTTTCCTAGGCTGTAAAAATCTTTATGAGAGCAGAAAGCCTCATCTTTCTCCCGTGGAACAGCTGGTAGTTTCAAACTGCTGATCTTGCGGTTTGCAGCCCAATTCGTAACTACTACGTTACCAGAGCGCCAATGCTTATGGATGTAGTAGCTTAAAATACCAACCAAGAGGGAAGGAGTCCTCACAGCAAGGATCATTTCCATCCCTTCTGTACACAGAGTTGATAGGGATGGACAATTTAGACATTGGCTGCCTAAAATGGGGCTATAAAGGCATGAAGTGACTGGCT